GGCTTGCGGTAGGGCCGGCGACCGGCACTGCGTGGCTGCCACGCGCAGGCGCGACGGTGGCGGCCGGCGCTGCCACCTGTTTTTCCTTTTTTGCTATTTCATACCGCAGCCAACAAGGCGCAGTGATCCGGCATGGAGTTGGCAAGGACGATGTCGCCGTCACAGCCTCTATGGCGCAGCCGGCGATGCTCCTCTCCTTCTGCTGCTTCTTCTTGTTAGCGGCAAAACGAAAAACTGTAGTATTTTGGCGCTGCATTAACTGGCAGCTTTTCTGGATTAGAGCTTAACCTTAAATAGCAAATTACAAGAAAGTTAAACGTGGCCATAGTGGCCTCCTAATTGTGCGTGCCACACTCCTTGCCACTTCGCGTCATCCCACGAACTGGAGCACACCACGCACGACACCACGGACTCCGCACGAACGCAGCGTGCGTCAAGCCCACTATGCACACAAACAGGATGAACAGATCATGTGCAAGACTCAACGTAAAAACAGAGGGAAACTAACTACTCTGAGCAGCTAGACTTATTACTAACAAATCACCCCCTTAAGTCTGACTGCTCTTGTCAAGAGAACAGACACCGATCTTTGAACGAAGCTCCTGAAACCTGGTTCTGCCCAGAGATTTGGTGAATATATCACCGAGCTGCTCCGCAGTTCCCACGAACATCATTTCGATCAGTTTCTTTTCTGCACACTCCCGGATATAATGATATTTGACATCGATATGCTTACTCCGGTCATGATGCACTGGATTTTTTATCAATGATATTGTGGACTGGTTGTCCACCTTCAGCAGCGGTGCGGTGATCTCGTCGCCCAGCACCTCCGCTAACAGCCGCGCGAGCCATACTCCTTGACATGTTGCGGCGGCTGCGGCGATGTACTCGGCCTCACAGGAAGACAATGCCACCACCTTCTGCTTGGAGGACTGCCAAGTGACAGGCCCGCCATTGATGAAGAAAATCTGGCCGGACGTGCTCTTTCGCTCATCTGGATCGCCAGCCAGATCACTGTCAGAGTAACCAACCAGCATTGGCAAAGCGCACCGTGCACCTGGGCCAAATCGAATTCCCCAGCAGCGAGTGCCTGCCACATAGCGCAGTATGCGCCGAACGGCAGCGAGATGATCTTCCCTGGGTGACTCCATGAAGCGACTGACATACCCAACAGAGAATGCCAGGTCGGGTCGCGTGTTGACGAGATAGCGCAGACTCCCAACCAAGCTGCGATACAGTGTAGCATCCACAAGCGGAAAATCTGAACCCTTTCTCAATTTCAAACGTACCTCCATAGGAGTCTGACAGGGATTGCAGTCCTTGAGTCCTGCCTTCTCAAGAATCTTGCCGGCATATGCGGCTTGCCCCAGCGTGATCCCATCACTGTCCTGGGTAACCTCGATGCCGAGGTAGTATCTGAGTGCCCCCAAATCACTCATCTTGAAGAGCTTCATCATCTCTCCCTTGAAGCTGCGGATCTCGTCGTCGTGATCGCCGGTGATGATGAGGTCATCGACGTAGACGCCCACCATCAGTCGTCTTCCTCCCCTGGTGCGTGTGTACACACCATGCTCGGAGCTGCTGCGGTGAAAGCCGAGTGACAGCAAGGAGCTATCAAGTTTGGCATTCCACGCGCGAGGCGCCTGGCGCAAGCCGTAAAGAGCTTTGTGTAGGCGATACACCTTGTTCTTGTGGTTGTCGTCGACAAAACCCGGCGGCTGCGAGACATAAACTTCCTCGAGCAGCTCGCCGTTGAGGAATGCCGACTTGACGTCCATGTGGTGGACTTGCCACCCTTGGTGCGCGGCGACGGCGAGAAGGAGGCGCACCGATTCCAGCCGGGCGACAAGTGCGAAGACCTCGTCGAAGTCCACCCCCTGTCGCTGGACGTACCCCTTAGCGACGAGGCGCGCCTTGTAGCGCACGATCGCCCCCTGTTCGTCACGTTTCAGCTTGTAGACCCATTTTAGCCCAATTGCACGGTGGCCATGGGGTAGGTCAGTGAGCGACCAAGTGTCGTTGTCGACGATCGCGTTAAGCTCGTCTTGCATGGCGCCACGCCAGCTTGGATCCGCCTCAGCCTCAGCCAGTGAAGCAGGTTCGTCGGCGCTCACAACATGGAGCTCGAGCTGTTCCAGCACCCGCGGAGCGTGTCCGGGCGGTGAGGCATTCCCCAGCAGGTTATCCACCAGGCGGTAGCGAGGCACGACGTCGTCATCTGCGTCGGCGTCCAGGATGGAATCTTGGGTAGGCGGCGTGACAAACTCAACCGCCTCCGGCGACGGAGGCGACGGAGGTGCCGGTGTCGTGGGGGCCGACGGAGCCGGCGATGGTGGCGAGGGTGGAGTCGGCGACGAAGCAGGTGCCGTCCCGATGGTGGTCGTCACCACCTGTTCGACGGTGAACGGCTCGAGCTGGGGAGCACCATCAGGCGTCACTGGTCCCCAGTCCCAGGCGATGTCTTCATCAAACACCACGTCCCTAGACACATGGACGCGCTCGCTGACTGGATCATAGAGCCGGTAGGCCTTCGAGCCTTGCTCGTAGCCGAGGAGCACCATTGGCGCACTCCGGTCATCGAGTTTCTTCAGCCCGGGCTTGGTGATCTTGACGTGCCCCACGCACCCGAAAGTGCGCAGGAAATGCACAGCGGGCCATTGGCCATACCATGCTTCATAGGGCGTCTGGTTGTCCAAGCTTTTCGTCGGCGAACGATTCAAGAGAAAGACCGCTGTGGACATGGCCTCTCCCCAGAACCGCCCAGGAACACCCTTCGCCTTCATCATGCTGCGGGCAGTGGCGACGATGGTTTGGTTTCGACGCTCCACTACTCCGTTCTGCTGCGGGGAGTAGGGCGCCGTCAACTGCCGACCAACTCCGAGATTGGCGCAGTATTCCCCAAATTCGATTGAGGTGAATTCGCTTCCACGATCCATGCGCAGTGCACGGAGTTTGCGCCCGGACTCCACCTCTGCACGGGCCTGAAAGTGCTTGATGGCGTTCGCGGCCTCATCCTTGCTCCTAATCATGGTTAGCCACATATAGCGGCTCATGTCATCGACAAGCAACAAAAAATACCGATTACCAGCCGGCGTTGCAGGTTCGATCGGCCCACAGAGATCGCCGTGGACGAGCTCCAGATGTTCGTCAGCGCGGTACTTGGACTGCGTCGGGAACGCCGCTCGCCGCTGCTTCCCGAGCAAACAGCCATCGCAGACTTGAGTGACTTGTTGTAGCAGCGGCAGCCCACGAACCATTTCCTGTTGCGCGAGCTTGCGGAGAGCAGGAAAGTTGAGGTGGCCGTACCTGGCGTGCCACCGCCACGCCGGCTCGGCGCTCCTTGCCGCGAGGCAGACCGGACGGTCGATGTCCAGCTTGATGGTGTAGAGGCAGTCGTCGGAGCGTCGGACACGGACGAGTAGGTGCCCTCGAGGATCCCACACGTGCAGGATGCCGTGATGAATCAGTACCTTGCTGCCGGAACGATCCAGCTGTCCAAGGCTGACGATGTTCGCCGTGAGCCGCGGGATGTAGTAGACCCCGGCGATGCCGCGGTGTTCCCCGAACCTGCAGGAGAACAGGACGGTGACGCGGCCCTCGATGCGAACCACCGAGCCGTCGCCAAACCTGACAGTGCCGGTGACCGCCGTGTCGAGCTCGGCGAAAGCGGAGCGGGACCCGGTCATATGGTTGGTTGCGCCAGTATCCAGGATCCACATCGCCGGATCATGTTCGCCACCGTCGTCTAGCTGCGCGAAGACCTTGGCCTCGACCACGGCAAGTTCGCCAATCGGCGACGGCGCCCTCGGCGCGCTCGGTGGCGAGACGACGTTTGTCGGTGCAGCGACGCGAGGACGCGGCGGATCCAGCTGCACCTTGGCCAGGAGCAGAGCAGGCTCTTCGTCCTCCTCCTGGGCTACGTAAGCTTGCTGGGCCTTGGGCTTGCTGCGACAGTCTTTGGCCCAATGTCCCCTCTTGCCGCAATTCTTGCAATTTCCCGGGTTACGGCCTCCCGGGTTGGCTGGCTTGGGCTGGGCCTCCTTCGGGGCTCCATCGTCCTTCTTCCCACGCCCTCGACCCCGGCGGTCGCCGTTGCCGCTGGAGGAGTGAGCGGCGTCTTGCAGAGAGGCCGCCTTGCGGAATTTCGCCAGCCATTCTTCCTCGGTGAAGAGGAGACGGCCATTGGCGTCGACCCGACTCGATGCCGCCGCAGTCTTGCACTGCTTGCGTTGCTCGACGGAGCGCAGACGCCCAGTAACCTCCTCGAGAGACAGCTCATTGACGTCGAGCAAGGTCTCAATCGAGATGGCTATTTGCTGGAGATGTTCTGGGACAACCTGCAACAATTTCTGAACGACCTCAGCTTCAGTGATATTATCACCTAAGGTGCGAAGGTTGTTGGCGAGGCCGCCGATCCGCATCGAGAAGTCGTCGACGGTTTCATCGTCCTTGAAGAGGATATCACCGAATTCTCGGCGCAGCTGCTGTGCATTCGCCTCACGCACGCGCTGCACACCGATACGGCGAGTCTTGATCGCTTCCCACGCCTCCTGCGCCGTCTCCTTGACAGCGAGCGTGGCGAGCATCTCGGCGGGCACGGCGCGAAGTATCGCGGCGAGCGCCTGCTGGTCCTGCCGGTAGTCGACGAGATCATCGCCCTCCGGCTCCACCGCGCCCCACAGACATTGGGCTTGCATGTTCACCCGCATTACCAGCGCCCAATCTTGGTAATTTGTGCGGGTGAGTGTCGGGTAGACGACGCTGCTCGTGGTCGCCTCGCGGACGACGCGTTCCACCACGACTTGGCCGCGGCCGCCATGACGGCCACGGCGCGGAGACGGCGAGCGCCAGCGACGACGCGGTGGTGAGTGGGAGACGCGCGGCGTTGGTAACGACATCAGGAACCCCGGCGATCACCGAAGGCTCTGATACCAATTGTTAGCAGCAAAACGAAAAACTGTAGCTTGTCTGGCAAAACAGAAACAGAACAACACAGAGTATTTTGGCGCTGCATTAACTGGCAGCTTTTCTGGATTAGAGCTTAACCTTAAATAGCAAATTACAAGAAAGTTAAACGTGGCCATAGTGGCCTCCTAATTGTGCGTGCCACACTCCTTGCCACTTCGCGTCATCCCACGAACTGGAGCACACCACGCACGACACCACGGACTCCGCACGAACGCAGCGTGCGTCAAGCCCACTATGCACACAAACAGGATGAACAGATCATGTGCAAGACTCAACGTAAAAACAAAGGGAAACTAACTACTCTGAGCAGCTAGACTTATTACTAACACTTCTTCCTTTTCTTTTCTCCGATTCCTTCTCCTTCCCTGTGCAACCGGCCGATGCGGCGGTCGCGGCGGCATCGGTGCAAACGAGGCCCAGCGCGGGCGAAGCCTCAACGGTCGGCGGGGCCGCAGCCAGGACAGCGCGGCCGGCGGCCAACGTGAGTACGAGTGTGGTTTGGGCCGGCGCTGTTCGTGGCAGTCGGCGGCCGGTGGTGGTAACTCCGTCAATCGGCATTCGCCGGCGACTCCCAGTCGGCAGTGATGGAATCCAACAAAAACCACAAAAACGGAATCGGAAGGATGCGAGCAATTCTTTTTTGCAATTCAATGTCCAAGATGCAAGGGGATTCAAGAGATTTCTCTACCTTCTTCTTTCTCGGTCTCCGGTAGAACGTCGTGCTGATAACATATTACGCAACCCTCCTGCTATATGAAGTAGTCCATGATAACATATTACGCAATCCTTCTGCTATACGAAGTAGTCCAAGAGGTCCTATATGAAGTAGTCCATGATAACATATTACGCAATCCTTCTGCTATACGAAGTAGTCCAAGAGGTCCTGTAATTCTACAAAAGTGGAGATATAAGATTGTAATTCTACAAAAGTGAAGATACAAGATTTAGGGGTGAGACTCTCTTCTCATTCATCATTCTATCCTCCTCAAGCACAAGTGTATAATATGATCACCCCTCTCCTCTTTGTATAGCCTTCCTCCATATATGGAAGGTTTTGGTGTGGGCCAATTAATATATATGGGCTGGGTGTTCATGGACCCAAGCCCATAGGTTTCTAACAATACAGACCAATCAGCCTAATCACTAGCTAGCTAGTACAAGTTCGAGATAAAGCTCCAGCTCTACCGACTTCCACAAGCGCAAAACGTATATTTATTTTTGGCCCTGTCTTCATATTATTTTTTCTGTGAGAATGACCGATCTCTCTATATTATCTAGTTGAAATAGATTAGCGTGCGTTCTACCTAACTCTAGGTATAGTAACGGGTTATGGCTAATGAGCCCTTTTATAACTTTACTTAAGCTGCGTTTGGAAGTGAGTTTAGGATGCGCTAATACATCGGTGTCTTTTATGCAAACTTTTTATTTCAGTTTTTTTAAATAACAACTAAAATCCTTTTCATAATAGTCGATACGCAACTAATTAATCATATGTTAATGGTTTTTCTTGTTATCCGTGCTAACTTAAGCTAAGCCTAGATCTGGCGATTAAATTTTCTATACTAAAATATGATCGAACTAAAAGACCACTTTGGTCCTGTTTGGGGAGCTTGTCCCAGCTGCAGCTTTTCCCAAAAGCTGCTTCTGCTAGAAGCTGCCCCAAACAGTTCACAGCTTACAGATTCTGAAAAATAAACTAAGAAGCCAGAAGCTGGAGAAGCTGAGTTTCAGAGCTTTTCCAGATTCTCAGAAGCTGGCTACCAAACAGCTACTTCTCAGAATCTAAAGCTTCCCCAAACAGACCCTTTGCCTTGGTAGTGTTGGAATTTTGAGGAAAAAGAATAAGAATAGGAAAACGCACCGTCGTGTTATGCATATACATTTTTGCTTGTTCATCGAGAAAAAGGATCGCTACTGCAGGTGCTCCAACGCCTGCGTCAGAAACGGCCTAAACCGCTCAATGTTGACCCGCACGTCCTGCTTCCCGAGGTACCACTCGGCCACGTTTCCCCACCCGCTCAAGTGCACGGCGACGGGGTCCTTGATCATGGGGTGGTCCTTGCCGAACACGTCCATCAGCGAGCTCTCGTCGGCGGCGATGTCGTACTCGATGTACCGGAGCCCCATGTCTCGCGCCGGCTCGCCGAAGTCCGTCTGCGCGATGCTCTCGAGCCGGCCGTACGGCACGATCTGCAGCAGCACGGCCCCCGTGGGGAGGAACACGCAGTTGGTCAGCCCGGCGCCGTGCACGCCCACCATCACGTCGTACGAGTTCACCTCCCGGGCGAACTCGTCGTAGGTGCTCGTCGGACGGCCGCCGGCGACGGTCACCTCGAACCCCGCCGCTCGCGCGGCCGCGGCGACCTCCGGGAGGTTCATCAGCTTCCGGCTGTTGGTCCGCTCCAGGATCATCATCCGCGGCCGTGCACCGTGGTTGGTACCGAGCTTGATCGGCCGGTCACGCGGGAGCGAGTAGGATTGCCTCAAGAACTCGGTGAAGTTGACCATGGTGTAGCCGCCGCCGGTGTCGTCGAGGGAGGGGTCGATGGTGAACTCCTTGCGGCTGCCATAGCCGACCACCACGTGCGGGTAACAGCGGACGACGCCGCGGTCGTCGTCCTTCTCCAGGTCGACGATGTCGTGCCGCGAGATCTGGCTGAAGATCCTCCGGTACTTGTCCACCCAGAAGGGCAGCAGGTTGACGACGAGGAGCTGGACCTCGCCGCCGAAGCGACGCGCGCCGATGAAGAGCGGGACGAGCACGTCGGTGAAGTCGTGCCAGTAGTTGCCGGTGAGCCCGCCGAGCTCGATCACCATCGCCGGGACGTTCAGCCGCGTCGTGCACGGCGGGGCGTCCTCCGGGTTGGGGACGGACCTCACCGTGACGGGTTTGAGGCCGTCGAGGTACTTCCGGGAGTAGGGCTTTATCTTCCACTCCCGCGGCGCCGCGCGCGGCGAGACCAGGGTGACCACGGCGGCGCCGGCGCCGCCGCCTCCCTGCGCTCGCGTGTCGCCGTCGAGCACGCAGATGTCGTACTTGCCGAACGACGTGTCGCAGATCGGCTTGGTGTTGGCAACATTGTTGAAGTCGTCCGTTCCTCCTCCTGATCAATGATCAGTTGATCACCACGTCAATAACGCGCCCACGCTTGAAAACTGGTATAACGTATTGGGGCTGCAATTCATGACATGTGAAATGAAGAGCTGGTCCATCAGGAATATTATTATTTACCGAATTCACTGAATTCTATCGTATCCTTCTTCTCGGATTGGCGTCCTTCCTCCCAGTAGTTAGAGCTCCTGTCGTTGCCTGACATCATATACACATAATAAGATAAAATGTGATACTGTGGCACGCTGGCAAGTCGGTGAAAGAAAAACAAACTTGAGAAGTCAAATTTGGTCATATATAAGGAATTTTGTAGTACTATTTTTCCCACCAATCACCTCCCATTTAAATTCTCTTTATTTTGATATCTAATTACTCTCTTTTCCTTAACAATATCAATAACACATATATACCAGTTTTACCAACAAATTATTATTTGGTTGCTTACATGCTATTTTATAGCTTAACGTGTAGTGGTAGAAATGAAAATAACAAGGTACCTAATTGTTCCTCGATTGAATTTTTCTCTGTTCGTTGCTTCTCGCTTTCGTCATCTTTCTCTGAAGGAGCAAAAAAGAAAGAGAATAATTTGAATTCGATATCTTGTAGTAGGTAAAAGGATATGTCGTAATTGTTGTCGCTTGATTAGTATGCTCTCTGGAATGACGTAGCTGACGTTTACCTTGACGTTGGCCTGTTGATCGTTCCGTGTGTGTACTAGCTACCTCCTCCCTGTGGCCTTCCTCCAGTCCTCTGCTCCCATCTTCTACAGACTTCACAATTTCAGCAAAGAAAAGAAACGGGATTATCTAACAGCAATTCTTAATCATGTTAAGGCTGTATATATACCTTGCCATGCTTGATTCCCTTGATATGTTGTAGCAGGAATCGATTCAGTTTTACTAGTTGTTGCTGGGCCTAAATAAGCTGCGGCAAAAGGAAATCAGGACATGAACCTCCATGTTGGAAAGATTGAACACATGAATCTCCATGTTGTTGTCTAACTCTAGACTTTCTCGAGTTTCCAAGGCAAACAAAGGAAGATGATAATTAAGCAAGCACATATGGAGAAAAAGTAATCATAATTACCATTTGGGCTGTTGCTGAACTGCGCATTGACCATCAAGTAGAGCAGCACCAACACGAAGCCAAGAACTAAGCCATATCCAATATATCTGCTCTTCCACGACGACGACGACGACGATCGATTTGCGCCCCTCGTCGCCGCCTTCGATTCCCCTCGCCTCATCTCGGGAGTCTCCGGTGGCAGAAGGATGATCCCGCGGCAGTTTGGCCGCGCCTCAACATAAGAATCGAATTAATATTGGAACTTGGTAGTTGGTACTTGGTACTACTTGGTAGAGTACGTTTCCAATTCCCTACTTGACTGATTCTATATCAACTTTGGGCTGTTGCTGAACTGCGCTTTGAGAGGTTTCTTTATCAGCTTCTTCTACTGGCTGTGCTTGCAATTTGTGGTAAAATAATAGCATTCCAGCTTTGACATATTGCTTAGCCAACCAATCGACGACAAGTTCAGTACGTGAGCAACCATAGCTGATTTTCTGTTAGGTCGTGGGCCATCACGCACGTCGCCCTCACATTCCGGCGTATAAGTAAAAGATGTACTGGAATCTTATCTATATATCAAATTATTGAACAGGACAGCTTACTCAAGCTTGATTAGCTTTAACTATATATCATCGGGTTGTCTTATTGAGACGGCCTACAAGATACATTCCAGCCATCAAATGACATGTGCACATTCTAAACACATGTAGCTAGCAACTTGTGTAGTGGCCCCACGTACACTACTCCAAAAACGATTTTTCTGGACAAGACTCCTATTTGGTTGCAGACGGACCGTAATTAGCCATATTTGCAAAATCGACCTCTATTTTTCATACCGCTCCTTAAGAGGTTTGCATGGAAAAATCGATTTTCGCAGACGATACTCTTAAATAGCCGCATCCGGAAATGAGTCTATTTTTGCAAGGGGACCTCTTAAGGGGCCACATGTAAAAATACATTTTCGCAGGCGGGCATGTTAAGGATCCACCGAGAAGCCTAACTTGCCTCCACTTTTCCCTCTCAACACTTCAAAATTTTTCAAAGTCCAACCTTATCTTTTCGGTCCTCATCCTTTCCTCGCTCTCTCTTGGCGGCCGGCGAGTGGGCAGCGGGCGGCTTAGGCTACCTCGGGCTTGGCCCCTCGACGGCCCCGGCTACCGGTGGGAGCGGGCAAATCCACTGCCCCTAACCACGAGAGCGAAGGTGATGGGCGGTGGTGGCGGCAATGGTGGTGGGATCGGGTGGATCCGCCACCCCCGCCCTCGGGAGCGACGACGGCGGGCAGATCCGTCGCCCCCGACCTCGGAAGCAGCAATGGCCGGTGGGTGGCAGCTGAAGCAGGCTTGTGGCACCAGGCTAGCTAGGGTTTTGGTTTTTCAATTTCGAGATTTTTATTTTTTTTTTCGAAATTTTATTTTTGCATACGGCTCGCATAAGCACCCGCATGCGAAAATCTGGTTTGGCCGCATGGCGCCCCTATCACATGGAAAAATAGGGTTTGGCCGCATGGAAAAATGCTTTTTTAGTAGTGGTAAGGTTGGGCGGTAGCATGATTATACAAGTGCACAATAACTAAAACACTCTTCTCACATATAGGCAGCCCGGCCCTCTCCCCACCCTCACCCTTCACTAAGTAATTAAATTACATATGAGCATAGTGATATAGCCACACATTTGTATCCAGTCCTGTTTTGATAAATTACTCAGTTATCGGCCTATATTAGTAAATAAATTACTCATGAATATAATAATCTAGCCACAAAATTTATTCTGGCCTTTTCTCTGGTAAATAAATCACCTCCAGTTATTGGTCCAACCTTCTTTTGGTAAATAAATTACTCTTAGTTATCGGGCTTTCTCGTGGCCATAATATTTACTCGGTATATTCTCTTAATAAATAGATTAGTTACCTCCAAAAATCAGTTGATTAGTACATTTCAGCCATCCTACTTCCGTAGAATATGGAGTAATATTTTTGCTCGGAAAGTATTTTCCCGAGGGAAGAGAGTGATGGCAAGGTAGGATTGTGGATGTCACTGACTTGTGGTTTCCTACATACAAAGTCTCTTGTAATACGTTGCTAGAAGTCGTTTCTGTTGAAATACTGAGATAGTATTCCATCCTGACGAATCGGAACATAATACCTTCCCCCACATTTCGCAACATACAAAGAAACTGAATGGTAAGAAAACACAAACAGGGTCATCTACTGGCACGAGATCACCCCAACATATAGTTTTCCACCTGACAACTATTGCAGGCATATCACAAGGGCCTTCGACGGACCTGCCGAAACGAGTCAACAATCGTCAGGGCGAAGCGCAGCAGCGAAGCACTGATTGACGCATAGACAGTAGCTTCGGGCGAAGCCGAGAGCCTTTACCACCTAGCCAAGGGCCTTTGCCTCAAACTAGAGAACTCGGGGTCCAAAGGGGCCGATTGGTCAATGATGGCCCACGTTGCGGCCTAAGAGGAAGCCCATGGCTGAATTGTCTATAATTGCCCTCATAAATGTCCCTATTATAAGGGTATCCACGTAAATTCCCCTGTATTTATTTACCCTAGGGTGCATGAGTTTATACTAAGACTATAAATAGACCCCAAGGGGCATGTAATGTGGGGATCCCAAAAAATTCAATATTAATACATACGGTTTAACTTTTCCACAAAAAGTGAACCACATTTTTCGACGAATGCAGCTGTCATTCGACAAACACAGCAAAATCAACATCCATACCTATTTTGACAAGCAGCTCCGGGTCGTATGCTCGCGTATGAGTGAACACCCGATCCCTGAGGAGGTTGTAGGTCTGCACATCCTGATCTCTTTGCAAGCCCAGCTTGGAGTCGGGATGGAAAGTTTGGCCTTGATCCTCATCCATTGGCACTTGGCCATATGACTCAGCATGCCCTTCACTCTTGCGTCCTCATTGGACGGGCACGCACTCAAGCTGTAGGAATAGTGATGTGAGCGCGAGCTTGCAGCCCGCTTTATTGCGCTGAGAAAACGCTTAGAGCTCTTCTTCGTCCTGCACACAAAGCAACAAACACACGAATAATCAAAAACGGGTTACGTTAGCAAAAGCCGGTTAGCCGTCCAAGAGTTAGTCGTCCTTGTGGAGCTTGGTTGCTACCACAAAAGTCATCATTGTTTGTATTAACACTCCCCAAAATCGTTCTTATGGGCGAGAACGCACCACAAAATCGTCTTGTGGGGTAGTGACACTACCACACTACGTTCTTGTGGGGTAATGACACTACCACACTATGTTCTTGTAGTTCAACCCTTAAGGTTAACTTGATATGCAAGAAGAAAAAAGTGGATACTCAAACTTGAGACAATAACACGAGAAGCACTCTAGAACGAAAATAGAAACCCAAGAGAAAACTAGTGCAACTTGGTTTGAGGCATGCATGGAGAACAATAACCATGGGTTAGCTTTTATAGGGGCGAGCCACCCCTGGTTTGGCCACACCAAGGGGTCGGCAAACCCCTAATGGCTACCCATGTTTCCCTCCTTTCGACGTAAGAATAGTGGCATCCTCCACTAAATAAAAGTGAAAGTTCATGTAATAGACCGCCCTCTAGAACCGCGTAGCCAACTCATCCGACGGGTGCGCCAACTTACACACACCAGCCCATTTACATTTTCATCCTTGTTTCGTGTAAAAGGGTTAACAAGGGAGTGGCATGGTTGGAGGGACAATGCCTTATAAGTTGGTTCCACCCTTGCTAAACTAGCAAGGTGGTACTAAACATGTGCACACAGCTCTCATGGGCCACACATGCCTCATCCTAATTGGTCCAGGGTGTCACAGTTTGGTCCCAAGAAAGATGCCAATTCATACCTCTTTATATCCCTAAGTGGTCCCATTTTGATTTTCAAGAAGATAAATAAATATGAGATATCGACTTAATTTACCTTTCAGCGAAGGACTCATTATTTAAAGTCCAACGAGCGGGACTTCTCCGTTCCAATTAATTTGAAGCTACGTCCAGTTCTGGAGATGATGCGACGGATGACTATTGTTATTTGACTCGCCACACTTTCTTAGTTTTCTTGGGTTTAGCTAGTGTGGATGATTCAGCGGACTTTTGAGGTCGCAGTCTTGGCTGCGCCCCTTACCTCTTCAGTGTCTTGTCATTCTGATATTAAAGAGGGAGTTCCATCCTTAACACTTTTTCCATGAATGCAATGAGGTTGTCCTTCTTCGGGGGTGTCATTTCGACCTCTCGGATATGGATTTTTTTTTTGACCGGGAAACAGTGGAGGAAGCCCCCAAGGTTAAATTTCAAATATAAAAAGGAAAGAAATCTGTACAAGCAAGAAAATTACAAGACGTCAATCCATGTTTGCAAAATAGGTCTATCAGCTATCCTAAGTCTAAGGAAATGTAGACTTAGCTCCTCCTTGAGATTAGATTTCCATATCTGAACAGAAGGTTGTATATGCTTAAAGATTAAATCATTTCTTTGCTTCCATAACAGCCAACAAGCCACAAGAAAGATCTCCATAAAGCATGAAAGATGAGGTCGGGCACTCCTGTGAGATTGCAGCATTTGATGAAATTCCTGTGTTGTGTCCCAAGAAAAACCAATTGTGTTCCAGCAAGCAATTGCAAAAGGGCACTGGAAAAATAAATGCTCTCTAGTTTCTCGCAGACCCAGGAAGCATAAAACACAAGTAACAGGAACATTTGGCGGTTTGCAATATCTTCTTTCCAACAAATCTCTTGTATTAACTCTATCTAGGAACAACAACCAGGCAAAGACTTTAACCTTCATGTATACTTCTCGGATATGGATTATGAAGTGAAGTCCTTAATTAACTAGGGCAACTTGCCAAACTACAAAAGCACATAGCATAGGGTAGCAGCTTAAGGACATGTAGTTGGCCCTTTGAGCAACTAAATAACGCATAGCTTGACAGTAAGCTCACATAGAGACCATACCCAGTAACGATCACACATATACATTACCACCTAACTAGGTTCATATAGAGTCACCCATCACCCCGGTCAAAAACATTATATCCGCCCATTGTTCATTACATGGTGCAACAAATGCTACCCAAAAGGGCACACAACCACAAAGTTCTTATCAAAGTAATGATAAATAAAATGATGCATGTATTCAACACAAAACATTTTATAAACTGGGTCCAATATGTTCAAAGAATGCACTTGCCTTGCTACAAAAACTGTCCTTGCACTGCGTCTTCTGTAGCGAACAACTCCTCTACTCCAACGTCTACACGATGGCAAACAAGAATCAAATAAACATAAGGAAAGACTAAATAGATAACGTTAAATGAAATAACAAACTTAACAAGGCGGTAGAGCTCACTTTTGGAACAATTTAGGAAGAAGAATAGGTCGAATCGGCATTCGAACGAATGAGTTATGAC